GAAACACTTTTTGTGCTATTCCATGGAATGCTCTTAACATCCCGATAGCAATGAATACATTAAATGCTTTGACAATAAATACATTAAAATAATTCATCTGTGGAAGCCGTGGTACTGTAAAAAGCACAACCAATCAAATGAGCCGGCCCGGCTAAAATAACTGGATGGCCTGATGGATCTGTGCACAAACTTATTTAGAGTCATTGCGTGCCTATTGATTTGAACACGATCCGTGTATCCATCATTTCCTGGTCTTCTCTAAAGAAGAGGGACCAATGAAAACGTTGTGATGTTGCCGTTGGTCACCATGGAAACATTCATTAGCTAACAATGACATTATTGTTCTATTAATATAAAGGGAGGTCAGGTACTCTTTAAAACAGCTGCTAGTTATGGGTACTTTTTACTGAAGTACATTTCAAAGCCTCTTTACTTGAGTAAAGAAGTTTAGTCAGTACTTCTACTTTCACCAGAGTATCTGTACTTCTACTTGAGTAAAGGATGTGTGTACTTTTGCCATCCCTATAGAATATGGTTTGCTTCCTTTTACATGAAGGAGGACAGCGTTTCCTAATGATTTGTCCTCTTCTTATCCCCCAGGTGAACGGGCGCAACTTCTCCAAGGCTGACCATGAGGAGGCAGTGGTGGAGGCCATCAGGCGAGACCCCATCGTTGTCCAGGTTCTCCGTCACACACCCACAAGATCCACGGCCGCTGTTGCACATAACCACAACTGCATGCAACAGGATGGGTGTGTGGTGGATGTGTGCACGCAAACGGACATCACCTTCGAGCACATTATGGCACTGGCGAAGCTACGGCCTGCGACTCCGCCCGTTCCTGACATCTGTCCTTTCCTTTTGTCCGACAGGTGAGGGAAAACAATAAGTGTTCAGATGTAAGATGAACGTTGATTAATCCCCCTAGTAAAGATGAATCTCTTATCTTACATCTGAACAGTAAGTGTCATCTGTCCTTTCCTTTTGTCCGACAGGTGAGGGAAAACACTTACTGTTAAGATGTAGCCAAGACAAGAAGGTTATTGGTACGTCCTGAAATATCATGGACCCCGTATTTTGTTGACTGGAATCAGGTTTTATCCACCCTAGATGAACGTCAAGCATCCCTTCTCTTGTATTCTCTTATTTCATGGTTGTAATTGATTAGTTGTATCACTGTGGAAACCCCTAGACTAGCTAAGTACTTTTGTCCATGTGATATCATTATGCGGAGCCCAACCCGCACGCAATAATTGCTTCTTTGTGCAACATTCATTTTCTTTAATGGGCACTTTTGCCGGGCGATTAAAGCCAATGGGCTGATAGAGCGAGCGTTCTGGCGCTAAGTCCATTCTTTGGCTATTTATAGGGCTTTGCAGGCTAGTGGATTAAATCAATTTGTCCGATAAAACTACAAATCTGCCAGTCTGGGTCGAAGATTATGGAGAGGCAGTTATCATGGTGACAATTTACAGAGGTCATGGCTTTTATGGGGGGATTGGTTGATGTTTACATTGCTTGTTCAGAGATTTGTTGCAAAATTAGATAACAGATGTCAGTGGGGGTTTTTTTCTCATAGAAGCTATTTCAACTGGATGTGGACAAAATATTCACACAGCCAAAGCAGTTTGAAAATGATCGTCTTATTTCAAATGATGGATACTAACCACAAGACACATGAACAAACATTGAAATGATCTTTAACAAAGCTGTATTTTCTTGTTTTTGTCTATAGTTGTCATTCCATCCACACCATGGAGCATGAGTTTTATGAATGTCCAGAGTACCTGTCCAATATCCCAGCAGAGGTGGAGAGGACTGAAGATTATGAGTATGAGGTAGGGTTTTGCATTATTCTACAGTTTGAGCGTAATTTAATGAGATATGTTTTTGCCTTTCAGACAATCTGTGCACAACCATTTTCATTGGTATGCAATGTGTGCACAGAGGATGATTCTTTAATATGTTTCTGTCATATCCAATGAAGGTATACAAAGTCCAAACTTTTAAATATAATGTGTATTGGAATTTACCAATCAGAGTTAGGCTCTCCAGAGAGGAACCAGTTACATTTTGGACAATGCATTATCCTTCCTTTGATGCTTTCATTTGACCAGCATTAGATTGATAGTGTCAATAGTGCAATTATCAGTTTACCAATAATGAAATAGGTGACCATGCTGTGATAAGCCATGATGCACACAGCTTAATTATTGTACAATACATATGTTTGGCTTTTTATTTCTCGATTGAAGGCAGTTGGACCACTGTTGTGTACACGCTATCTCAGGAGAGGATCCAAGAATATCCATAATGCTTTTATTCTCACAATCCCACAAAAATACTAGAACAAATGTCCACAAGAATAATAAGAGAGAAATGTCTGTCCCTTGTGAAAGCTGCATCTACGTATACGTTTGTTCCGCGAAGCATAAGGAAGACCTTGGGTTTAAGACGGGAGCCATTCTTTATATACCCTTACAGAAAGAAGATCCCTCTCTGTCGTGTGTTTCATTCACAGGCTGTTAGTTTCCCTTTCATCATGCTCTGTCCTTCAGAAAAATGTGTGTCCACTTTTCACACAGGCACTTCAAGCTAAAATGAAGATGTGAATGTTATGTGGTGAAAGCAAGCACTCACTGTTCGTTTGGGTGAGCAATGGTACGACCTTGTACTGATATAATACATTACATTACGTTCAGTTGTGGCTGTTGCCATAGTATCTTTTAAATGAGTGTTATGTATTGTATGTTTAGACTTCAGTCTGGTTTGACAGGACTGGAAATACTGACTACATAATTAACTGAACCCTGTCACGCTGGAGAGCAGAGCAGGCCCAAACGCAGGAAACCAAAGTAACTTTAAAACACAGACAGATTGTGACAAATCCAAATTCCACGAACGTTTTTCCCACATTTGGAACAGCGTAGTTTGAGCTTCTTAACAAAACATAATCCATTAAAGCACTTATTTCATTAGCATGTTACTACCATATGTTCAAACTAGGCCTGTCAATGTTAATGTGTCAAGACATTAGTATTATAAAAATTCAATTATCATTACTTTTGATTAACGTCATTACATTTTTATATCAATTGAAAAGTACATGTCCATATTTCCCCTAATAACACACATTTTGAACATGAGACAATGTTTCAGGACTGATGTTTAATACATTACAGTATCTAATAACTGGCAACCTAATCCACTTAATCGTCTTACTTTAGCATGTTAGCACTCTGAAGCTAACATTTGCTAACTCCCATACAGTCTGTACAGACAAGCGTCTCAATCCTCACAGATGCATCATTTCACACACCACTTTGGGGTCAGACAGTGATGGGTGACGTTTGCTACCCTCAATGGTCCTCCCTGGTTTAATAGGCACTTCCTGGTTCAGTGAACTGCATTGTGGGTCATTAGGATTCCTCTGCTGCCAGCTGTGGCCTCACCTTAGAGTGGATGGACGAGTATCCAGTGTGCAGGGTGGGTGGAGGGCTTGTGTTCAGTAATAGCAGTTGTATCAGAACAAGGTGGGCTTTACAACACACACACACACAACAAACACCCCATCCCCACTCCCACCAGACATACAACACACCAAATCAGCCGTCCACTTACCTCTGTCCATCCATGTGTATCTAACTGAAACATGAATGGCTTTCCTCTTGGATGGAACAGAATAGCGCTGCCATTCCTACAAGCATTACTTCTGACAGGTAGCTTCACTCCCGGATGATTGTCCACATGGGTACTCCTGCTGTCATAATACTACACTGCTACTGCTGCCAAATCTATCTTTTCATAATATTGGCAAGTAGCAGACAGTGGATGCGGAAAGAGTTTCATAGCGAACTGTTTTCTTTCTTTGATTGTTAGGGTAAAAAATAAAGTTCAAACTGGACGAGCTAGCCTTCGCCGTATAATATGCCTTCGTTGATATCCTATCAGTTGTAACCTGTTTTGGATATTTATGTCTAAAGGCAAAGTAGAGTTGCTTAATGGCAGATTTTAATGAACAAGCTATTTGGTCTCCAGGTTACACAGCACAGTTAATGAAGTAGCCTTAGTCTGCCAGAAAGAAAGCAGATAGCTGACTGCCAAGTTAGTTCAGAAAGAATATCTTAATTATGGATCCACATTCGGGATGCCAATCAAAAGAGGCTCGTTTTTTTCTTTAATCCTCTGAAACAAAGTCATATTTGGAAGGCAAGAGCTGCTACAAGGATATTTCATGTATGGGCCAAGCATCAAACACATTGGATTAGACATTGGATGCAACTAGACTTTGTCAATGCCTAATAAATACCTACATCTATCGTAAATTAGTAGCAAGTTAATACTTTAAAATCTATAATGCCTATTGAAGATAGGGTTACATTTAAAAGAGCTACCACCCTGCCAACAATTAATGGTTTGTGTTTCGTCTACTAATTGGTTCATTGGACCAGAAAAGCAATGAATCAGATGAACACATCTTAAAGAATGTGACAACACCACAGTATCAATGCGAAACCTCTCATATGAAAGCTTTCCCAGCAATACCCTTTCAAAACTGCTATAACAATGGCAGCTTAAAGGTCGGGTAGGTAATTTTGGAGAAACCAGCTCGAGTGCGCTAGAATTTGAAAATACACAGCCGGAAGCAATCTGCCACTTCCTTACAGAGCCCCTCCTCCAACACACACGAACACGCACATGACCAATGAGGGCACGAGATAAGTTTGTGCACAGATGGAAGGCTGACAGGCAGGTAGGCGTGGCTAAAATGATTGGTCGTGCTTTTTACAGTACTACAGCTTCCACAGATTACATTTTTTTATGAATTTTTTGTCAAAGCACTTCAGATATTCATTGTTATCTGGATGTTAAGAGCATTCCATGGAATATAACAAAAAGTGTATCTCGAGCCGGTTTCTCAAACTTACCTACCCCACCTTTAAAGGATGTTATTTCCATGCAGTGTGGAAACAATGAGCCATTGAACATCCTGCACAGCATTCATTTATTTTGAATGAAACATTAGTAACTGCTCGGTTCATATTCGCTTGCAATGTTGCAAACAGATGTTTAATGAGGCAAGACAGCACAGCCCCTTTTATCACGTCTTATATATGTTACTAGCATGTGGTAAATGTGAGCCCTCCCATTTTAAATTGAACGACAACATACTGTAAATTAAGTAGATGTATTCCATGAATGTTCACAATGCATTTTAAGCCACATGAAATAAGATTTAATGCACTGCTGTGCCGTAATTTACCCCCACAGTGGCACAATTTAGGATCCAATCATCACTAATACAGCCTCTCTACGGTTGTAGTTGGCTCCATGCATCTTTACCAGTGGGCCACAATAACTGGTGCCAGTAATCCAGCGTACCACCCGATGTGCACTGACATAAAGACTGTCTGATCTCACTGTATGCAGCTGCTATTTCACTGCCAGGCTTTGTTGAAATCAACCAGTGTACTAAACTGGTGAGAAATGTGGTGTAACAATATTATAAACTCATAACACACCCCAACCTTTGAAGGTCAGGTCTGTCTGCACAGAGGGTTAAATGCCACAGAAATTAATTACTTCCCCTGTCAATCTCTGCTATCGCGGTTTCCCATGACAGAAAAATGGTTGGGGCTTAATTCATGCCCCCAACCCTCATCCCCTTTTTTACCCCACTCCCCTCAACTTCAAAGCGCTCAAATTAATTTTGCAGCATTGGGGTTAATAAAGATTAACCCTTGAGTTATCTTTATGTGATTACCTTTTATACACAGCAGAGATTAAAAGGAGCCAGTAGTGAGGCGGGCTAGATTTAGAGACATTTCCTGTGGGAAAGGAAGGGATCAGCCAATGAAATACCTTCATCACTAAAAGGTACCTGCCCCTTTATACCGCCACATGCTGGGTTCAGTCTGATCTCACAGGCCTTCGTTTCATTGACTTACAGGACACATGCTGGGGCTTGTGTATTTGTTTGATGTGTCCATAGTTCTGTGTGTGTGTGTGTAAGTGTTAATAATGTTTTCTAAAAATCACATCCTAGAGGTAACATTTGTTATTAAAACCGCATTCGTGCTGCGTAATTTGTGGTCTTAAACAATGAGTTCTAGAACATTCATATGAACACCCCCCTCAGGCCTAAACAACTCTGAATGTTGGCAAAAAGTTTGAGACAAATAAAAAAATGTCATGGTTTCTTCGTGCCTTGTTGTCACTCAATTACAGGAAACAAAAGCCCCAAGGAAGCGCGGCAGACATTGAAGCAATTGTCAAATGGTGGTACTACAACTTCCATGTCTGTCTCTGACGTCACTCGGCCCAAAAAAGACCTTTCCCATTGACTTCCATTGCGAAAAATACATCTGTAATTCACCAAATTTCAAGCTAAATCAACTACCCAGTACAAACACATTAATGGTCCTTAAAGGTGGGGTAGGTAAGTTTGAGAAACCGGCTCGAGATACACTTTTTGTTATATTCCATGGAATGCTCTTAACATCCCGATAGCAATGAATATCTGAAGTGCTTTGACAAAAAATCCATAACAAAATGTCATCTGTGGAAGCCGTAGTAGGCCCACTCAGCGCCATATAGAGAGAATCTATATCTATATGGCGCTGGGCCTACTGTAAAAAGCACCACCAATCATCATAGCCGGCCCGGCTAAAGTAACTGGATGGCCTACCTGCCTGTCAGCCTTCCATCTGTGCACAAACTTATCTCGTGCCCTCATTGGTCATGTACACGTTCGTGTGTGTTGGAGGAGGGGCTCTGTAAGGAAGTGGCAGATTTTTTCCGGTTGTGTATTTTCAAATTCTAGCGCACTCGAGCTGGTTTCTCCAAAATGACCTACCCCACCTTTAAATCATTAGGGCCTAAAAGTTGTAGAATGAGCTAAAAGCCGAATCCAGAGTAATTTTCTCTCGATGTGAAAAACACTTATGGAAAACGCAAGTGCACACGCTCTATGGGGCCAGATGTGGGTTCTTTTGCTCTCTAGAGTCAGGCCATTTTGGTCTACACATACATGTCCTTTGTAGGTTTCCACATTACGACTTAAAGTTCATGAACACATGGTTATCGGAAGAACGACTTCCCAACTTTTGAGATGGGACCACCATGGCTCTAATGTCACTGCTACAAGTCTACTTTAATGTACTTAATGTTTCTTCTTCGTCCTCCAGAGAGAGTATATATCATGATCATTGCTTGAATTATTATTTCTGTCGTAGGAATGCATTTGGTATTGTTAGGATTAGGGTTAGGGTTAGGGACTTAGGGACTATATCAATGTTCCCAAAAGCAATCAGACTACTTCTACAGAAACAAAACAAAGCCATGTGAAAAGATTAGTGACAGGGCCATAGAGCGTAACAAATCAAGTCTCCCACAGGGTGGTATTGTTTCGGCTGCTTCTTACAGCAGATGTGTAAACTCCAGGTTTGAAATGAAATGGTTTTGAAATCCATCGGATCTCCCGGGAATAACACGAACTGAAAACATGGGAAAACAATTGTGTTTTAAATTGTTTGTGTGTAACAGGAAGTGGAGCTGTGCAGGCAGAACAGCCAGGAGAAACTGGGCTTGACGCTGTGCTACAGGACCGACGATGAGGAGGACACCGGCATCTATGTCAGCCAGGTAGGAACAGATGTTCTTTCCCCTGCATTAATAGGAGTCAAAACATTTAACCGATTTAATAGTAATCACACGATTACTCCCAGATGAGGTCTGTTCGAGACAGGGCTGCATGTTCGTTAAATCAAACTCCGATCATTAGTTTCCTTTAGAGCAGGAAGTTATTAAAATATGGCATTAAACCCATTTGAATTCCCATCATTACATCCTGAAGCAAGGAGAATGTGGAACTGAATGAGGGAGGAAGGAGAAAAAAGTGTTTGCAAGTCAAATATCTACTCTGAATGAGCCACGCATGGCCAACGAGGAAGTCAGGTTTGAAATGCCATTCCCGTCCTGCGATTCCTCCTCCTTTGACTCGTTTTAATTGAAGGTTTTAATTAGCTAAAACCTTCTTATCACAGTATGTTAAATTACACATTTACTGTACCCCATCTGAATACCAAACACCAATCAAAGAGGGGATATATTACAGAGATTCCTTTTTTTATTTCTTATAATTTGCAGCTTAGAATAAAACTTCCTCTTGCAATAAAATTACACTTTCAAAGACAAATCTACATGAATGTGTGTGATGTGGGTTTTAGGCACTAAAAGTGGAATTTGAAAAATGTTTAGTCTGACTGCAGGTGCTGTTTCAATCCCATTATGAACAAAAAGGGTGAACAGAATAAGCTGCTATGAGGATAAGAATCCCTCCACAAGGATACAAATGTCATAATTACAGTGTAATGTTAAGACTGGGTGTATATACATCTGTGAACTCTGCCAGCTATTTCCCTTGTGTTCACCTGCTCTTCGTGAACTAGACGAATAGTCTGAATACAAAACTCGCTGAAGCGCAACAGATTGTGAAAGCGGTCTCCCAACAACAGACGCGTCTATTTTTGTGTGTTTGATAACGGGATGAAAATGCTAATTTCCCTCATTAAAATGTATTTATGGATAGCATCGGTGCCACTTTGGGAAGTGCGTGATTCTTTTCTCCATTTCCACTTGGGTATTTTTTGTTCCCACATGTAGCTATTGCTCTTGATCTTCAATGCAAGAACAACAAAGTTTAGAAAAATGGCTATTGAGCGCTTCGTGTGTTGGCGCACTGGGATGCATTTAGAAAAATATGAGATTCATTCAACTAAAATAGAATCATTTCTGTGGAATAAACACTATTGTTTTTGTTTGGGTTTCATCTTGTATAACTCACACGTTCTTGTGTATAGTGTCAAGAACGTACATGTACCAACCTCAGTCAGTATTAGTCGATAAACTCAGGATAAAGCATGCACACACCAGCACTAAGAACCTGTGAAGAACCGACCTGTCGTATGAAAAATAACATGTTGTCAGGGAGAAAATAAGCATCTTCTTCTTCTTTATGAAAAGAGGCTTTTTGCCTGACAGCAGAAAGATCAGAGAGCAGTGGAGAGAGCGGTACATCACAGGTGCGTTTGGGGGGGGGGGGGACAGATACACAATGACTGGCTTTCAGCATTGATTTTCATGTCTTTTTTTTGCAGGTGGAGCCAAACAGCATAGCAGCGAGGGATGGACGCATCAAGGAAGGAGACCGTATTCTACAGGTGCGTTGAAATATTTATCACAATGACCAACTATAAACTCACATCTTATTTATTTAATTTTATTTATTTATTTATTTATTTTATTTTATTTTTTTATTTTATTTATTTATTTTATTTAATTTTTTTAATTTATTGTATTTATTTTATTTATTCCTTGTTTTTTATTTTATCATTCACATTATTTTATCAATCAAGTTATGTGTTATTTGGTATTTATTACCTGGGCACGGGGATGGCAGTCTTTTTAGAGCATAGCTGAGCAGCTGGTGTCTCCAGTCTGGGCCAGCATGTGTATTTTTAATTACCTCGTTTTTAAAGCTCTTAGTGGCAGTTACACCAAGCCCTACATCATCTCTAACCCTCCTAGTCTTTCTCTGTCTCACCATGCGAAAACCCCTAGTAGTTCTCTCTAAACATTTACAGACATTTTCATACGTTGTATCTGTATCCCTTTTACACACATGGTTGTTTAAGTGCCCAATGTTTTCCCACTGGAAAACAGGATTAACTAAGTGTAAAGCTTTTTATTCGTGACTCCAGGCGCACCATTAGTGGCAGCAGGTGTGTGTAGCCAAGGTGAACACTCACTCGTTAAGACTTAGCCAGGTGGCTTTGTTAGTAAGGGAGAGAAATATGCAGTGACAAAACCTTTTTCAACAACATTTATATTATGCAGTATTATTTAATTTGTTATTATAAAAGTTAACTTTTAAACTCACTCAAAACATGATTCTACCTCTTTCACCTCAGTAAGGAAACTTTGTCTTAACAAAGAAAAACAGATGGGTTTATTGGCTACGATTGGGAATGAAAATATGCTCCTGTAAATTATTAATGTAATGTTTTCATTGTGGGTGAACTGTATTGCTTAGTAACCAGGATTTAAATAATAAAGATTTTCTTTTGCGGGGGGCAAGTTCAAATAGTGACTGTTTAATTTGTTCACCTTCTGAAATAAAGGTGACACATCATTTGTGACCTGGTAAACAACACATATACCAGCCAAACCAGTAATTACATATCATTTAGACATTTTAGAATATGTTGAATAAAAAACACGTGAGATAAGCTTTTACTAGATAATACAGTCTCTGATCTTAGCCCACTTAAAGAAAGTGTATGAAAAAAATATTTTGCGCTGCCAATGTTAGATTATTAATGCACAAAGAAAAAAGGATCGCGACTGGGATGTCCCCCATTGTTTCCGCATTTTTCATTTCCTTGATGACTTTCGTATACCGCTGACAATGACGAAACTGCTGAGCCGCCCACCCCTTGTGATGCCATTGTTCCCAAGGCCCATTATTTCGAAACCCCAAGAGTTTGAAAAATGTCCCGTTGTACCAAAAGCCAACTGCCTGTTACAATGAAAAAGACAAATTCAGCTTGATATTAATTGCCCAGATCAAACAACATTCAAGCACCTCACTAAAATATAGTTTAAGGGAATTTGAATGCATGTCCACTCAGTTGGCCCCATCTCAACTTGCTTCCAGTTTGAACAACAGTGTCCTCCGTCTTTTCTGTACTCGCTGATTACCTTCTTTCTCTCGCCTTAGTGCTTGTGTGTCTCAGTAGTGTGAATGATTGTGGGGAGCAGGGCCTGCTGTACTGCTGGCCATATTATTTTCTTCTGACAGCCCCATTACTCTAGTGAGGAAAAGATGAACGGCACCTGTCAGAGGCCAGTTAATTGTGTGTCTGGATGTGTGGTGAGAGCACACTCTTATGAGGTTGGACTACGCACTCGCAATTGACTCCTGGGCGTGCAGCCTACCCATGGCTTTCTAGGGATTGCGTGGAGTGGAAGAAGTGATGGGAAAGACTAAGAAAGACTGATGGAGAGACCCGAAGAAGAATGACTTAAAAATAGACTAACGAAGGTAGAAGATGGGCAGGAATGAGAGACAGAAAAAGGTGTCATAGTGTGACTACTCAACGTGTGTCTTGCAGGAATAGGAACAATGGATAGTTGTATCATCATTTCATACATGCCAGTTAAATGGACGATGATGATGAAACAATTACAGGTCCTTTCTCAGGTGTGCGGTTGGGACTCTCTACAAGTTCACTCCTCTTATCTTGACCATTTATACTTGTCTTTGGTGTACAGATAAATGGCTTTGAAGTGCAAGACAGAGAGAAAGCTGTTGCCTTGTTATCAAGTGAAGAAACAAGAAGCATCACACTCCTGGTGACAAGACCAGAACTCCAGGTAAACACTCACACCTAGACAGGCTCCTCTGCCCTATCTTGAACACCCCCATGTCATGTCAAAAAGCTTCCTGCTAAGTGCCTTTTTGGTTTTCTTCAAACTGTCAGCGTGATTGTCTGGAGTTCCTACACTTCCACACAAAGACAGGATTCTGACAAGATGTTGTGATTTCAGCTCGAGGAGGAGGTTTGGCTGGATGACGAGCAACAGGAGCTTGTGGAGGAGCTGAAGATAGAGATCCTGGAGGAGAGGAGGAAGCAGAAGGAACGTAACTTTGACAGGGGAGATGAGGTGAGAGCGTAAACTTGAGAAGTGCATCAGAACAGGAGACAAAACGTCAAAGGCAGAGAGATGGCAGGGATAGTGGGAGGACAGGTAGGGATGGAGAGACTAAATGGGGCGGTTTTGGCGCAGTGGTTAGAGCGTTGGTCATCAGATCAAGGGGCGTTGGTGAACTCCAGTTCGAATCCCNAGATTGATTCTTTGTCTTTCTGTGGGTTTATCAGTCCACCATTTTGGTCCAGACTTAAATATCTCAACAACTTTTGAATGTATTGCTATGAGATTTAGCACAGCTGTTCATGTCCAGAGGACGATGCCTATAGTCACTTCTGTGATACCCACACCACCTTAATGTTGGGGGCATTGGTCATCAGATCAAGGGGCGTTGGTGAACTCCAGTTCGAATCCCGCCTCGGCCGCCACTGCGTCAGGCCGTTGTGTCCTTGGGCAAGACACTTTAGACTTTTGCTCCTGTGGGTAATGTCCACAGTAATGACTCTTACATGTCTAATATGTGTAATGTGTATTTGTAAAGCGCTTTGAGCACGTGTAAGCACCTGTAAAAGCGCTCTAATAAAAAAAAAATGTAATAATGTCAAATGTCAAAGTTCTCACTTCTCCATCAAATACTCACATTACATGTCACTTGTTAGAGGCTTTTATCCAAAGCAACTTACATACTCAATACTGTGGACAATCCCCACAGGAGCCATTTGGGGTGAAGTGTCTCACAACGACATGCTGACTGCCGTGGGGTTTGAACCTGTGACCCCTGATCCCAACATCAACGCACTAATCCACTGCGCCACACGCCTCCCTTACACGTCTATCTTATGGATTGGCCCAATATCATTTTCCCCGGACGATGCATCCTAATGTGTTGAAGCGGGAACACCCCTTACAGTACCGAGCTCTTGGAGTAGAAACTCATTAAGGTGAGATTTTCTTGTGAGGGTGAAAGTACCACCACCGTTCTTGTTT